TAAATTAATTTGTACTACAGAGGAAGAACACAAAAGTGGCTTGTAGGTACATTTTCGGACGTTTAATGAGGCTCAGAGGTGGCATGAGTGCAATTAAATTCATAAATTCATGTGGCGATTAATGTTTTAAATATACAATTTTGAATACAGAAATATAATTTAAATAACTGAAATCATACGCTAAAAATGAAACTAAATCTGCCAGCAGGTGGCGGCAAGTCACTGATTTTATCACTGAATCATTCATTCAATTGATTTGTTCGAACGGCTGAATCATTCAGGAATGAACTGTCTTAATGAACTGACGGAAATCCATCGTAGCGACGGAACTTTAATCCCTGTTTTATGCATCTTGGAGAGAGTTTCATTGTCTTGAGTGTCGTAACCAAACACGACACGCAGTTTGAAGGCTGAATGGAGAATGACTGACAGCTGCAGAGGAGAGAAGAGTTTATGTGAACTTGAATTTAACGACTTAAATATTCATCTGTACCTCACATTAAACTATAGAACGGCTTCAGAACACTTGGAATATAGTGCACAAAATCTTTATTTATGGTTCTTATGATGCCTATTTATGGTGCTTTATAATGTTTTTGTTCTTTTCGTGGGGCTTAACAATAACACAGAATAGTATACGCACAATATCGGATTTGGATCGGTCTCGTCTGACCAATACCCGATCCGGCAGAAAATGACAAAATCATGTATTTTCATAATACAGTAATAGTATATCATCATTATTGCTGGAAATTCAATCCCCAAACATAAGTGATGTCTGTTTTTATGCTATTACAAAAATTCTAGTGACATTAATACTTCAAAAATATATGTATACATACATGGAGGTGATGACACGTCTCTTACCATAGGTTTCTGGTGTGATGGACCTGGAATGGCCACTCCACTACTGGTGTTTTCTGCTTTCTTAGTAAGCTGTACATATACTTTCCCATGGTCCTTGGACACCAGACAATGATAGAGATCATCATATTTGACCTCTAAAAAGATTGCATCACGATCCACAAATTCTCCAGGCTTGAGGAAATATACCACTTTGGAGGAGATCAGCACACAGTATGTGTCTATGGGCTCCACTGCAATGAAACTACAGAAGAAAACAGGCATATGATCGTTACATCATCGCTTTACAAAGAACAGAAATGGTGTTATGCCCTGGCAAAATCTGGGTTAATTCAATTTAAATTGCATAATAGCAAAGCAGATGTGCTATGATTCAATTCAGACCAAATTCGCTCATGGATTCCGATCAAATCTGTAAAAATGATGAACTATGCAATAAATGAAAAAGGATTAATTCAAGCGTGCTATTCAACGCATAGACTATGTTAGTGTTGGGCGATATGGTCATTTTTCAAATCGTCATATCGGCAGTCCGTGAGATTGCCGATAGACGATATTATCGTGCATGGGTGGGTCCGCGGGCAAGAGAGAGACTCTCTGTACTTGTCAAAAATTAGCCTTCCTAATACGAGGTGACATTTGACTCCTTAAAGTGATTTACAGGAGTATTTTCTTTTTACCTTTGTAATGACATCATTTTCATCTGTCAAATCCCAAAATTTATGTTTATAATCTTTTTAAAATTTCTATTTAAAACAATATGTAGAATAAGACAAATAAGTTACCAATCATATTAAATTATTATTAATAAATTAATTTGTACTACAGAGGCTTGTAGGTACATTTTCAGACGTTTAATGAGGCTCAGAGGTGGCATGAGTGCAATTAAATTCATAAATTCATGTGGCGATTAATGTTTTAAATATACAATTTTGAATACAGAAATATAATTTAAATAACTGAAATCATACGCTAAAAATGAAACTAAATCTGCCAGCAGGTGGCGGCAAGTCACTGATTTTATCACTGAATCATTCATTCAATTGATTTGTTCGAACGGCTGAATCATTCAGGAATGAACTGTCTTAATGAACTGACGGAAATCCATCGTAGCGACGGAACTTTAATCCCTGTTTTATGCATCTTGGAGAGAGTTTCATTGTCTTGAGTGTCGTAACCAAACACGACACGCAGTTTGAAGGCTGAATGGAGAATGACTGACAGCTGCAGAGGAGAGAAGAGTTTATGTGAACTTGAATTTAACGACTTAAATATTCATCTGTACCTCACATTAAACTATAGAACGGCTTCAGAACACTTGGAATATAGTGCACAAAATCTTTATTTATGGTTCTTATGATGCCTATTTATGGTGCTTTATAATGTTTTTGTTCTTTTCGTGGGGCTTAACAATAACACAGAATAGTATACGCACAATATCGGATTTGGATCGGTCTCGTCTGACCAATACCCGATCCGGCAGAAAATGACAAAATCATGTATTTTCATAATACAGTAATAGTATATCATCATTATTGCTGGAAATTCAATCCCCAAACATAAGTGATGTCTGTTTTTATGCTATTACAAAAATTCTAGTGACATTAATACTTCAAAAATATATGTATACATACATGGAGGTGATGACACGTCTCTTACCATAGGTTTCTGGTGTGATGGACCTGGAATGGCCACTCCACTACTGGTGTTTTCTGCTTTCTTAGTAAGCTGTACATATACTTTCCCATGGTCCTTGGACACCAGACAATGATAGAGATCATCATATTTGACCTCTAAAAAGATTGCATCACGATCCACAAATTCTCCAGGCTATACCACTTTTACCACTTTGGAGGAGATCAGCACACAGTATGTGTCTATGGGCTCCACTGCAATGAAACTAACAGGCATAACAGGCATATGATCGTTACATCATCGCTTTACAAAGAACAGAAATGGTGTTATGCCCTGGCAAAATCTGGGTTAATTCAATTTAAATTGCATAATAGCAAAGCAGATGTGCTATGATTCAATTCAGACCAAATTCGCTCATGGATTCCGATCAAATCTGTAAAAATGATGAACTATGCAATAAATGAAAAAGGATTAATTCAAGCGTGCTATTCAACGCATAGACTATGTTAGTGTTGGGCGATATGGTCATTTTTCAAATCGTCATATCGGCAGTCCGTGAGATTGCCGATAGACGATATTATCGTGCATGGGTGGGTCCGCGGGCAAGAGAGAGACTCTCTGTACTTGTCATAGGCTACTTCATAACTATTTGGTGTTTTAAACAGCGCGCGCACGTGAGAGAGAGGGAGCCTATGGAAGCACCACGAATCTAAATAATATACTTTCAAACATACTGATAAACTAACGTTAAATACAAAAATATTTAAAACAGCTAGTTCATATATATTCGGATACAACAGTCATACATCGCTATTTACATCAGTCATACAGCGCTCCGGACCGCGCGCCCCATGACGAGCCAGACGCACCACCACAGAAACAAGAATGAAATGCGTTCTAACATAACTGTGGCATTAAACTCAGTTAGTGAGGGCTCGGTTAAAATATTGCACATACACAGGCCGTTCAGATTACTTGTTAAAGTGCAACGAAATACCTTATATCAGCAGACGATATGTGTCTGTGTTTGTGGTTGGAGACTCCTTCACTGGCTCATTTGCGCGCGTGTGTGTGTGAAATACAGTGCTGAATGAAAAAGCGGGGCAATTTGATAATAATAGCTGAATTATAATAGGCTGCCTAATAATAATAATAATAATAATAATAATTAATATTATTATTTAATGCATTAATAGGAGAATGAGCCTAATATCGTCTTGACTATTGACAAAGACATCTGCTATCGTCGATACACGATACTATCTGTTGTGCCAACCCTAGACTGTTCAGAGAATTGAAGATTAGTACATCAAATTAAACAGGCAACATTAAGGCAGTTCCAGTGTGTGAGAGGGAAGAAAGGATGAGAGTGTGAAGGCTGCAGCTGAGAAGACTAATGGCCTGTGTGGCACCTCTGAGGAGAGAGGTCATGTGGGCCAACAGGGGGTCTGCTGATCTGGATGGATTGGCCTCTTTGGTGATAAATGTCTTTTCTATCTCACTTTGAACACAGAAACAAGCTCTGATGCTTCCAACCAAAGACTAAAAACAATGTACCTACAGTTTGGGTTTCTTGAACTGGTAGAACCATCTAGAAAATGTGCTTCAAATTTGTCGTTTTTTTTCTTCTTTTTTTTTCTCCCTTTAAATCCTACATTCAATAACAATGAAAAGATTGGAAGAATTTCAAGAACCATCTAACCAAAGACTAAAAACAATGTACCTACAGTTTGGGTTTCTTGAACTGGTAGAACCATCTAGAAAATGTGCTTCAAATTTGTCGTTTTTTTTCTTCTTTTTTTTTCTCCCTTTAAATCCTACATTCAATAACAATGAAAAGATTGGAAGAATTTCAAGAACCATCTAACCAAAGACTAAAAACAATGTACCTACAGTTTGGGTTTCTTGAACTGGTAGAACCATCTAGAAAATGTGCTTCAAATTTGTCGTTTTTTTTTTTTTTTTTCTCCTTTAAATCCTACATTCAATAACAAAGAAAAGATTGGAAGAATTTTACAGAACAACTTATCATTACCATCAGAGAAGATACTCACTATTCAGAGTGGATATTGTCCGTTAAGTGAAATAGCTGTTCTTGTCCATCTGCTTGTAGGGAGGAGAAGCGAGGCAGCAGCCCCTGAGGGCCCTTACAGCAGCGTGGCTTCCTTACTCGCTGCACGCTCAGCCTGAAACACGCACACAAACACATAAGGATCATTACTTACAAAACCAACAGCCTTAAGAGGGTTAACATTGGGGAATCCAAATTGGAATGAAGCACCTTTTTACTGGAAAGACTGGACCTTTTTTCTCTTTCCCCCCAGTTTCCCGTTAAAAGAGTACAACTGAGTCTCTTGAAATAACACCTGTTGTGGCACAGCCCAAGAAACCCACATACTCAGACTCCTGCTATGCCTAAGGTGATATCCTGCCAACATATCATGTCATTCAACTGTTTCACAATCAAGCACACTGTGTTGGTTATAGGTGTGCAGTTCAATCTATGGTCAATGGCATAATAGCTACAGAGTTCTGGTGGTCCTGGCCAAAGCTAATGGGACTAGCCAGCAGCCTGCAGTGCCAATGCAAAGCTTGGGTCTTGCTTCTCCTGCAGACAACCCCTCTCTTCTTTTCGGCTGCCACTGGTGGGCCAAGTGGAATTCCTACATCTGGCTTGAATCTGGGCCAGCAGGCATTTGATTAGAGCTGATGGTTTCCAGTTGATTCACAAAGACGGCAGTGTACTGCATTTCTCTGTTCTGTTTAAACTGAAGCCTGGGTGAATGCAGCTGCCTCTGTTAATCTAGAACTCAGAATGCAAGGCGCTGGGAATAAAGGATAACCAAGGATGGCCAAACCTGAAGTCTCGAAGTGGGTCACATTTGCAACCTCTTTTGCATTTCACATCAAGCCTTTAATATTGAAAACAAAAACTAAGTGACTCATTGAACTTGCTATCAACTCTGCTGATGTCATGCAATCAAAAACAGCAGCACCTTGGCAAATTTGAGCATTAGCAACTAAATCAATATCCCGAAGCCACTGGTTACTTCATTACGACATATTAAGGAGAATGTGGTGTTGTTTTTCCTTAGAAAAGCCAGAACTTCCACATGGACTTGGCTTTTTTTTTGACAGCAAGCCACAGTTCATAATCATAACCGTAAGTCATGAGATCTGGCCCTGTAAATGACAGGACTGTAACAGACCCACAGAGACTCTTAATCTCTCTTTCTCTTTCTCTCCAGCCTCCCCCACTGCTCTGGAGGCGATCAAGCACAATGCCCCGCACCCGAATGTGGGATTGGAACAATAGAGTTCAACTCTAGGTCAGGCACAGGGCTTGGAGCCCAGCCAGTCAGCCGTCAATGGGTGCAAACAAACAGCTCTTACTTCTTGCTCCTTTCCGAGAAAGATCATGAGCAAAATGGGTTGAGGGCGGGCATGATGTAGAAGGCTGCTGAATGTAGGTGTTTAACTTAGTTCTCCACTGACATAGCCACTAAAAGCATGCCTGCTTGAATACAGGCAAATTAGGCCACCATCTCTGTCATCCCAAAGAAAGGTCTGTCACGTGCAGTTTTAATCAAGCTACAGCAGGTTTATGCATAGTTAAGTTACCTTTTTCCTTTGTCTGCTCAAGGACACATGATAGATTTTTTTAAATAAATGTTGCATGAGCAAGTGCACAACGGCAAGGACAACTGTAGTCTGATTAAAGGGGTCATATGATGCTGCTAAAAAGAACATTATTTTGTGTATTTGGTGTAATGAAATGTGTTTATGCGGTTTAAGGTTAAAAAAACACATTATTTTCCACATACTGTACAATATTGTTTCTCCTCTAACTCGTAACTTTTATAAAGAATATCTCTTCGGATTTGAGACTTTAGTCTTTGCAACTTTACAGATCTTCTTTATGCACCAAGAGCTTGTAACACTCCAAAGAGAAAGGAAAAATTGAAATCGCATCATATGACCCCTTTAAAGCATTGTTGTCAAAGTCTGCTCTTGGAGGGTCACTATCCCACAGTAATGAACGTCTTCAAGATTACTAGAAATTTCCAGACAAGTGTGTTTGGGCAGGTTGGAGCTAAACTCTGTAGGACATTGGCTGTCCAGGATCAGATTAAAGTGTAGATGTGCTGGATGAAACAGAGTTATAATAACATAATCGAGGTCTGTTAGCTTCACTATGCAAAAGTCTGACTGAAATATATACACTTGACTTGTGGTGAGATATCAAATTTTCTCATCTGGTATGTTTCAGGCTTGGCTGACTAATATTGCTTATCTTTCTGATCTTATCTTTGGTTTACTGTGTCAACAGTGGGTCAACTGTGTAATCGATTTGTATTTAGTATGCTGATTCCAAAACAAGTTAGAATTAGCAGGTACAGTAAGATTATCAGAAATGCGCGTTCCTTTGTTTACAATGGCAAGAAAAAACACAGTTGTATTAATTCCATTGTCTCGATTAAATGCCACAGAAGAAGTACTGTCATCTTTTACAAAGGAGGAATTTGAGGTTTTCCAAAATTTAATGAAGGCAGAAAAGTTCTCCTTGACGCCTTTGCCAAAGGTGACATTCAAATGCACATCAAGAGGCAAACCACATGAGGGACTTTCTCTAATAAAGGTTGGGATAATAGAAAATGCATGCATTTCCAAACTGAACTGACAGCTAAAGGTGGGGAACAGGGTGCTTATTCAGTCAAAGTCTGAGCCCCTACTGCTGCCCCAGGTCAACCCCCAGCACTTCTTTGCCTTTGTTTTGAGATTGTAATTGAGCTGCCTCTGGATGTCTGCCTGGATTGCCTGGGGTCCGGGGAACTGATGTGGGAGGCTGAGTTCACTAGCAGGGCAGGAGAGCAAAAATAATTGTGTGGACACTTCCACTGTTCCTGACCTTGATTCAGTCTGCTTCTCATTTACTTGTTTATTTCCTGTTTGTGATCTTAGAGGTTATGTATAATACATATTCCTGATCAGCAGGAGACAAACACTTCATAATTTACAGTACAGTGACATTACTGACATTGTTTGCAAGAGAACGTGCAAAATGTGGGAAATATCATGAACGTTTCAGACGGGAAGGGAAGAAAGCTCAACTGGGAATCACCATGGCCAGTTGTTGATGCATAGAAATTGATCCTTCAAGACAGAGTGCATGTGAAGACTTGAGAACATGTAATAGCTGGGTCAGACTGTGTCCGCTGAGACCCACGACTCCTGCACATTTTCTGTGTGAACTCTGGCTGAACTCTTGGCTGCACTGTGGCAGGCACGCTCCGAATGCCTCTCCCTTAAACTCCCCCAGCTCTTCACTGCACAGTTCACCAGCAGGTCCCTTTTCCACACACACACACACACACAGACTCTCTCCATTGAAGGGGAATGGTGAGAGGACCGGAAACTCATTCCTCCTCCAGTTGGAGCAGTAAAACCACAAACACTCCCCGCTGCACATATACATAAGCAGATGAAGAACAAATGGCTTTACATACCAGACTGCCTGTATAATATGACCAGCTTTTGGGCCCCCTCACAAAACCTCAGGTAGAGCTGCTAGCTTTAGAGTATGAAGTGAAGGTGAGACCCTGAAGGCTGCTCTTAAAACATTAGGCAAGTTCTTAAAACCAGTTTTGGACTGTGCTTTGGATCATTAGCAGGTGTTCATTAGTGTAGAGCTTGAATTGCCACAAGCTAAACTCATCAAAAGACAGGTGGGATTTATGGGCACATCAACAGAGAGGTCACGAAGGCTCTGCAAAGTTGTAAGAGCTATAAACATTGAACCACAGATACCCCTTTTCCACTGAAATGGTGATGGTTCTCGTGCCAGAGCCAGTGCTCAACTAGATGATTTAATCCACCGATGTCCAGCTGAACAATGATGTAACAGACTGCATCATTACAAACATGCTGCATTGTGGTCTTTGTTTATGACTGTTAGTAGTTTTAAGAATTAAAAAAAATAACTTTATGCAATCACAAGCTGCATGTGATGCAATGTTCATAAGTTAAAACAAATAAAATGTATATAAAATAAATTCCAACAAAATGTTAACAATTGTAGACAGACATTGAAAATGAAGTGACTGGAGCTGCTGTGCAATGTGACATTAATGCAGCATTTCCAAAGTCTTATTTTTCACCAATCATGCCAGACTGATTTGCTGCTTTTGTTTTGAATTTTTCCGTTTTGTTGTTTCGTACTCCAGCTTGGCCACTGGCACCCTGTTGTTGGAAAAGGGCCATGCAGAAGGCCGTGGAAAAGCATTCATCTAAATATTTCTGTCATCCTCTTCCATAATAGGAAAAATAACCTGAATACATAGTTGAGCAGAAAATACCTGTTGCTTAGGCTGGCCATGTCTCGGACAGTTTGTGCTGTTTCTGAGGCAAAATCCAGGGCTCCTGCCACAGGTTTTGTCACTGTGCCAACCAATCCCTTCCCCAGACCAGAGAAAAATCCACTGACACCTCCCTCAGTCTTCACTCCCTCCACTGTTGACGTTATCACACTGGTCAGACCACCAATGATGCCTACACAGCATTGATTCCAATTTGAGGGTGAAACAGCAAGTTAGGTTCATTTGAAATGAGCAGACAATTCATGGTTCAATAACGTGCCTGAATATCGAGCATTTAAAATGCAAATATTCGGATGTACCATGAGCAAGACCATGAATCCCTGCCACTAGGTGCTCTCCACTAGTTGCTCCATGATAGCGAATGCACTCTCGTTCAGTCTGATGGCGATTGTCCATTGTCTTGCCCAATCCATCTGATAAGGTACCTGCAAACTGAACAGGCAGATAAACATATAACAGCAACAAAAGAAAAGAATACTAGCTTATATCTACTACAATGAACAATTCTCATATTGTACAGATTGCCACTTAAATTAATAATGAAACCCCAATCTAAAAATAAGGCAATACTATAATTATGCAATGCTATCAATTTATTGTACCAACAAGCAATTCAGTCCAAACCAGATGTAGCATGAAATACATTTATGAAGTTTTAATAATTCAAATGCACACCGAGCCGACAGTCGGCTGTTGGCCAATGTCAGGTCATTGGTGAGCATCTGTCGGGCTAGTTTTTGTGGTGTGTTTCACACGTCGGTAATTGTCAGGCTCACATTGGCGGCAGTTTGCCAGATTCAGCATGAATCAGCATCAGGGCCGTTGACGAGAGTGAGAACTGATTGGATGTTCTAATGTTACATCATCTTACCTGAGCATTCCAATACGCAAATATTTTCGTAACAACATGAGCTGCTTAAAATTAAAGTTATCAACATAACTGATATTCAAAATGGTAAGCAAGCGCTGCTTTGTTCATGTTTCATATATCTGTGCATATCTTGTATATTCTTGTTTCGGTTTCTCCTTTTGAATGACGAATATAGACTGATATTATAGATAGATAATATCAGCTCTGCTGATGTAGACAGTTAATTCCTACACGCCGGTGCAGAATGCACGTGCTAGTTTGCAGTCAGATGTAGTCTGTGCATGTTCAAACACAGCTTATTGGTCCAGACAAAGCCGACGCAAGGCAACAACACCATTGTTTTTAGTCTCGTTCTTTGAAGTTGGCTTGGTATGTCCCGGCCTTATAACAACAGGCATTGGAACAGTTGCTGACACTGGCCTTTTCAGTTAGTGAAAACCCCCCCACAGTGACCCTAAGGAGTGAACTGCCTGCAGTGACCTTAAGGAGTGGACTGTCTACTTTAGGACACATCCATGATGTATTGTGATTTCCGTTTCATTTTCAGCAAAAGTTCATGTAGTTCTTCAACTGTTTATACTGTAGATTAGTCAAAACAAAATCATGAAAATCAACTATTCTACTTTTCTGTGAGTTCATGAGACATATTTATTTCTAATGTCTTACAGTCACTGAAAATGTGAACATTATTTGCAAGGTGCCACTTTCTGGGCAACCAACATGGTTCTCAAACCCTTCCACTGCTGAACTATGAGGATACACATTGATTTAATGGATTACTGATTTTACACACCATCTCACCCAGCTGTCAAATATGTCAGGCTGTAATTTGTCTAATGGGGTGGCGCTTCCCCCTCTTGGCACAGTTAACCTGACTTTGCCCAGAGTGGCCCCCCTCAGGTCCCCTGCAGGTGCCTCTTGGAAGGGAGTTTGTGTTACAGGCCCAGTGAGCTCCCTACTGCAGCCAGAGCACTTTATAAACACAGGCACATTCTGCAGAACTCAAGCAAAAGCCAGGCATGAACTTGGGATGACCCCTCCAAGCAAAGTCCCTGGTGAGTTCATCTGAAGGCCAGCTCAGATTCTCTGCTCCTCCTCCTCCCTTTAAAAAAAAAAAAAAAAAAAGCTTGGCTGTGAAATTATACCAATACATTTACCAGATATGAGCTTGCGGGAGGGAGAGGAGGATCAGAACACTTTCAAGTTTATGGCCCCTCACACCACCCCTGCTTGAGCCATTAGACCATCCTATCTCAAAGCAGGGCCCCTAGAGGTGTGCAAGAATGTGTTTCAGTGTGTCTACGTGTGAGAAAGAAGATGTAGAGGAATGAAAACCATGGTGTGATCGTCATAAAGTGGGTGAGTCTGACAGAGGTGAGAAAAACTGTACAAACTTATAATAAAAGGTTAATCCCATTCCACAGCTAGAGAGTTTAATGCTGTTTCGAGACATGGAAACAATGATGGAAAAATCAGCTTTATGAAGCAGGGGGGTACTTTGAATATGAATTCAAATGCATTTTTAAATTATAGGCATTATTTAAAAAAAATTACCTGGAGAATGTAATGTAGAATGTAGAGAGGCACAGAAACACTGCAGTCAACAGAATGTGTTTTAGCTGAAATGCCTATTAAGAAAGGTCCAGGCCCCCATAAAGGTAAAACTAACAACAGAGAATTCTTGAGAACTGCACATGTTCCAAAATAAATTCTGGGTGGCCACTGACATAAGTTACAAAAACTAATGGTAATCTTTGCAAATACAATAAACCTCAAGCTTTCTAGGCACTTGATCAAACCAAAGCTCTCAAATGCCTTTTATATCTTCCATTAAAGTTTTTCCACCCCAAGCAGCATGACATGGAGCCTTATACAGTTGGTGGATGATTTTGGCAAAGCATTTTTATTCAAGCTGCTGGAAGTTCTCTAGGGGGAGTAATAATTTGTTTATACTTTTAAAATTGAGTTAGTGGCAAGAAAGCAGCCAACAGAGAGAATATTTTTTCTCTCTCCAGTAAACCTAAGCATTTCTTCAGGAGTTCAGTGGGTTATTTGCAAAGACCTTAAAAGATACTACAGCCAAAGATGAGCTGAAGTCAAAGAAATGGACTGTAGTTCCATCTTACTTTCATTTTGAGCATATTTTCATGATGAGCATATTTAAACCAACTCGCCTTGGCTAAAAAAGCAGCAAAGTGAAATTAGAGAGGGTCAAGTGTGAACATGAAAGATTGCTGATTGAGACCTAGTGTTGTCCCATTCTATGAGTACTTTTGGCATGAGCTTGGCCAGTGTGGCTGGAAGGAAAGTAATGAGAGCACAGAGGGAAAAGCACACAAAGCTCTGTCTGACAGTGAGCTGGCTGCCAATGAAGGACGTGGTGCAATGGCCTGTCAGACAGACATGCTGAGAGCTGGCTGCAAGACATGAAGTGTAGGCTCAGGTCTGACCACACACAAATGCAGCCACATATGAGTATACACATTCACACAATATGGCCATGAGCAAATTAGCTTTTCAAGCTCATTAATCAGTCTATCTGCTCAAGCTCAACACTAAGAGCCTCATAAACTTACAACATACGTGAGATTGTTCCAGGGCTAATATTCAACTTTTATTCTGACGAAAATTAAATGCTGGTGTTCCCTGATTCTGTAAACATGCAGAAACCTGCCCATTTACACAAGGAGACCAAAACTAATAAGTAGCTTTCAGTAGCTCCACTACTAGACAAATTTAAAAAATGGCTATCCCTGTACAGCTATGATCAGCTGTTCCTCCATCTTGGCTGAGATTTAAATGTTAAGGAAAGAGTGAGGCTGATTGGTTGGTTCTTGTCACATGACGCGCGGTGCACTTGTGGCATTCTGAAAAGCTGAAATGTTTTCATCTCGCTGTGGTGTAGATGCGCCTGAAAAAACGAGCGCGTTGCAGCCCATGAGCATCGTGACCGCGTCGCTTCTATTATGAGCGCACTTGCCGTGCGTCTAAATTTGAAAAAAAGAACTTGATCATGCAAAAGACGCAACATGTGAATGGCCCCTTAGACGGACCTGTGAAGACGACAGGAAGAATGTGAACTTTTGCTACCTTGGCAGCTGAGTTGGAAACACCATGTGTAACACTGCGGATGAGTCCTCCAACGTTGCCATACTTGAAAAGTTCATTCATACCCTCAGTAACATCGTTCAGTAGGCCCATGGGGTTACCCAGGAAGTCCACTGAGCCCAGGATCTGAGCTGCCTGACTGATCAGCTCCTATAAAAAGACAAAGAAAGAAGATGTAAGACCAAGAGCTAGTGAAATCACACAGTGGTGATGCAAACATTGAGAACTTATACCGCAACATACAGCAATTCAGAATGAAGAATGTTTATGACCTCTTTGAAGTGCTTGAGGATGTCATTGATGATCATCTCCTGCGTCTCATAGGGATGGACTCGAGTGTAGGGGTACATGTTAATGATTGCATCCTCAAACCGAATGAGTGGGAATCCAAGGGTTCCCTTCAAAGCCTGTGCAGAACAATGCTTAATTATGCTACAGGCTACCAAATCATAATAGAATGTAAACTTCTTACAAAAGAACTGCATCCAGTGAAGCACTGATAGTACTCCAGCTGATTCTACTGTGGCTCTTGTACCTTAAGGTCAGGGGGCAACTTGTGAGAGGTGAAGACACTCAGCTTGACCTGAGGAAGACTGATCTTCAAGTTCTCAAAATAATAATGCTTTGGAGATCCTGCATCTTCATTTGTTTTCTCATAAAGTTTCTCATCCAGCTTCTCCACCTCTGAAACACAAAATCATGTACAGTTGTTAGCAGGGCATAATGAGGTACATTCCCCATACTGCACACCAGAGGGATACTAATTACACACCTCCCTCTGTCTGACCGTAGCCAAAGAATATGAGCAGTTTCATTAAGAGCTTCTCCTCAATGATGACAGTATAGCGGCGGGCTGTGACCATCAGATGCTGTAAGGCAGAGAATAAAATCTACAATCAAATTCCTGTAGTCAAAAGAAGATGTACAGATAGGCCTGAAGCATTTTTGGAGAGAAAGTGAGTCCATAAGTTGGTTTCACCTTATAAAGATCTGTGAGCATAAGACTGCTGGGCACTTTAACAGAGTTGACCTGCAAAGCAGGGCCTGAGTCCACTGCAGAACTTTCACTGGAGCCTGGAGTCACACACAGCATAACAGGGTGAGTTGTGCCCAGGAGCTGGTTGTCCACCTGAAATAGATGAGAGAATAAAGACATGTCTGTCAGAAATGTTTTTGCTTGAGAATGAGCCTTTGGCAGCTGCCATCCCTGACTACAGGATTAAATTGGGCCTAAAATTCTTTATTGAAGGTTGCTAAGTCAGCACACCCACAATCCATCTCTGTATATAGTGCCAATATTCAAGGAATGGCGGTATAAAGACACAGATTGCGCATTAAATATATACATAAATGCCCACGAATATTAGATTTGGTAGGGTCTGTACTAACTGAGATCTGTAAAAGTGTTTTCTGGGACCTGGTATGGATTCAATCCAATGAACAATGTATTTTCTTTGCATCTCTGTTTATGTGTTTTTGTATTAACAGCCATTACTTTGCCCAGCTGATGGTCATAAATATGGCAGATGAGCAGAAATCGAGATTACTAAACTTCCCTAATCCAAAGTGAGAAATTCCCACACATTGGAGAAGTATGTTTTGGTCTGTGGCTGCTTACCTGAATGTCTTTCACTGTGAGTTCCAGCACCTGGCTGGTAGCGGTGTGGGTGAAGTGCACATCAATGCCAGACAGAGTGGTAAAAACTAGCTCTTCAGGGAGCTTATTCACCAGTGACAGGCCCACGCCTTCCTCTAGGTTCACCAACACCTACACATAAAGGCAAGAATTAGGACATCTTAACTTCCAAGTTCAGTATTTGTTAACCCTGTGCTAATTCTATTTTTACTGGAAACACAATCAACGTAAAACTCTACATCAATCCATCTGCTGGACAAACAGAAACATGATTTTTACCTCAAGCTCCTCCTCAGGAACTTTCTTCTGAGCGCTCTCTTTATTCTGGTCTTCCTCCGTGCTGGGAGAGGGTCTATTCATGCGCCGTTGGTTGAAGTCACTGATCTAAAATGAGGTATGCAGCTTCTTATTATATTAGAAAGAGTGAAAGAAAGATGGGAACTGATTCCATTTCATATGGTTCCAGATGGCATGCTACCCCAACCATGTCCTTCAGTAACAATGAGAGTGTCTTACCCTAATCACAACGGGGCGTCTTACCTGCAGTACTCGCGTTGGCCCATCAGGCAGGACCTGTACAGACAGAACCCCTGAGCCAGGTCTCATTTTCTGGTTGATAAACTGTTGCTCTGGTAACGGTTCCAAAACACCAGAGTCTGGTCCCAGTACCACCTCAGCACCATCATATAGCCCAGACACTCCCCCTCTTACCTAAATCATCACATATAGCTTTTTAAAGAGCCACAGATTGTTTAATACTGAAAATAGCCATTGAGGAGCAAAGAAAATTAGATGAAAGAAGGACAGACCTGGACGACTAGTCTGGGTAAACCACAGGTCAACATGCCAGAGCTGAAGTGCCATGTCTGTGTGGTGCTGCGGCGGCAGTCTGGCCGTCTCAACATCAGAGGCTCATAGCTAAAAAAGAAATACAAGATATGTGAGAAATGACACCCATACACCATGATAATGTTTACTCTCTACAGGGACAAGAACAAGTTTAAAATAAGGACAAGTTGTCCTTTGTTGTGCTATGAAGCATTTAGGTAACCTGTTGTCTGTCACTGCAGCCAGTCCAGCAATGTCAAGCACTAAAGATGAACTGAGGGGACGAGGCTGAGAAGGTTTGCTCTGTGGAGGAGATGAGCCCTCATGACAGAGCATTCCTGTTCCTGTCATCCGCCAAAGCTGGGAGCGCTTTCCAGGCTCCTGAAAAGATAAAGAAATGTGAGAACCTTTGAGAACAAACTATAATGGGAAACTGGCAGATAGATGGCTGAGGAAGAACATAAGCAGACCTTTTTCTTCAGGATGACTCTCTGTGTTTTCGTCTCCACATCCAACACCAGTTCAGCACAGCTGACCACCCGTTTCTTCCCCACTGGCCTCTTTCCTGCATCCCTGTTATCAAATCAAGTGAATATTTACTTACATTTACAAACATCTTTAGACATATTTACTTTATATTTCTTTACACAGAATCATCATTTCTATTCCTTTTCCACTGATTTACTCAATCTGAAGAACATTAGCTGCTTCCAGCGATGTCTCTGTATGTTTTCTCTTACGGGATCGCTGTTATGACTCAGAGAGGAAGCTCATTCGCTACTCATATGTCACTCATATTATGCGTTCATAACCCTCCCTGTCTCTTCTTATGAAGAACGTCCATTACACTTCCGCATACTTTTCTGTTCACAACAAACCCAGAGAAACGTTTCTACACTCGAAACATGAAGCTAATAAACACGCAATTACCATAGTATATGGTTTGTATGTGATGTTTATGAGATTTGGGGTATTTTCATAACAATAAAGAATGTTTACATGAGGAATGCTAAGCAGGTGTAGCAATTTAGCGATTAAAATTTACATTATAATCACTAAAATCCACATTAGATCACAATCGGTGGTTATTAAAAACAGTCAATGGTGGTTTGAAAAGAGATTTGAGTAAAAGCGTAGTATTAATTTTATAAATAGTCTTATGTAGCTTGATGCTAACGTTAGCTCTAATGCACCTGTTACCCTGCTGTGATTAAATTTAATGATGTATTCTATCAAAAGAATTTACGTGAGGTTGTAAGAAAATGTGATGTGGACCAGGAGACTATAAAGAGTGGATAAAGATTTTCAATTTCATGCAGTGTTTAACGACCTAATGTTATGTTTATGTTCACCTACACTGCAAAAGGGCCCCTTTTAGCCGTTATGTTGTATTTAATTTAAGGTTCAACAGGTTTGCTTTTGTAAAATGTAATTTGATAATTGTAATTTTCTTCAATCATCTAATTATTAGAACACCTCAAATACGTTGCGTGTAAAAAGTGTTTGTTTCAGCCAGTTGAAGAGTGGGTACAATGTGTGCATATGATCAGGATAGTACCACCTCCACCTCATTTTGAGCCAGGAAAAGCCCTGTTCTTGAAATTGGTCAGATTGCCAATTTCTAGGATGAGTGAGCTATTTGGAAGTTTAGAGGTTGAGAACTCACTCTGAGAATGTGAAGGATGCAGCAATGTAGATGAAGTTCTCATAGTAGAGCTTGTTGTATTCTCTGAAGAAGTTCATGTCAGCAGTAACCTCGGAGGATCCAGCTCCCTTCACAGTGAGGGTGATGTAGGGTTGAAGAATGGGTTCATCGCAGGCATAGTCCAGAACCGCCCCAGCTTTTACCTCTGTGTGTAGCCTGATATCAGCCACTCCATGTTGCCAGAACTGGATAGGCACCTGAAATAAAGAGGACATATGTTACGAAGAAGTCTGTAGAGAAAATGCGCAAATGCTACAATAAGCTGGTGGCATGACCATTGCAGAGCCATCTACACTGCCATGCCAAGATACCAGAAGTAAAAATTCTCAAAGCTATCCACCAGCTTGAATAAAACAAATAACATGGCAGAAATGGCAGCTGACAATGGACCTGGGAAAACAACTGAATTTCTCTGAATGTTGGCAAGACCATCTTTAGATCTTATTGTTGTCGGTTACAAGAAAAAAGATGCTGGAATAACGCAGCGCTTTTAGAAAGAGCTTTTAGAGTAGGCCTACGAGTGGAGAGGCACATATTGTCAGTGACAGTAGAGCAATGTGCATGCAGCTTGATGTAGGATATTTCTATCTTCTGGATGTAGGCTATGGAGTTGATTGGTGTGATATTGCTGTTAAACAAACTGAAGTTTGATCATCCTCAGCTGGGTAGACTGGATTGATGATGAAAGATTTGAAACACTCAAAGACTCCCAAGATAAATCACAGAGAATGTGTCTAATCCCAGCACCAACAGATATTTTGTTGTTTAATATCAAGTCCCAGACCAAACAAGCAGCTAAATGTCTGCCCAAAATAATCATTAGCAGATCAAAAAGGGCTGTTTTTGATGTAAGGGCAGCACTGAGATAGAGAAACCACCGGACGCAGAGCTGTCAGGTGTGAATTCAATGCATGACAGATGAATTGATTGCTTAAGTCATGCCAGAGGGAGTAAAAGAGCTATTTTGTGTGACAAAAGCTTTATATCCACCTTTTGTAATGGCTGGAATGGTGTCTCGCTCAGTAAATTTAAAACCACCAACATATCATATGACAGAAAAACTGACTAAGGGGTCGGAAGAAGGTGACGGAAAATGTTCACACCTGCAGATACCTAACCCCAAATAACATAACATTGATTACAGGTACACTTTTTAAGTAGAATGTGATTCCTCTTGTAACGACTACTCTTTTGTAATATAATAATCTTAATGTTATAGTGACCAGAATTGAACACAGAAATGAAATTATGCTTTCTTTATATTAGTTATTTTAAGAAGTCAAAGGCACAAACAGAACCCAAGTCTGCCTTGAGCAAAACTGACATTTCTGAAATTCAAGAGCTGCACTACAATTGTTTATATGATTTAGGTTTGAGATTGTGGTTAGCACTGCATTCTTATTTCATGTGTTTTGACAAATTGAGCTAAGATGCTCTTGGGTGACCTGGGTTCAAGTCCTAGCCAGGTCATCTTAGTGATACTCTTTAGTCTCAAATCTCCTGAACCGTTCTACAGCCTTACAATACTTGATAATGTGTACCCTCTAAGGACTTACTTCAGAGATGTTATCTATACGGAAAGGTGGGGGCAGCTGGTCAGTGTCACTGAATGAGATTTGATATGTTGCCCCTTTCAAAACAATCTCAGCACGGAGGAAGAAGCAGTTTCCCAAAGTGTCCCTATGGAACACAAAATGAGAGGAAAAAGTCTATGAAATTGAGAACTCCTCTCTTAGTCATTTTCTGTTCTGCTCAGCCATCCCTACAGATTGAACATATTTGATGGCATTGGGTACCTCATGTTGATGTGGAAAGATTTAGGCTTGTTGACCTCAAAACCTCCAGACCAGGTGCAGTTGGGAACATCCATGAGACGGACACAGAGAAGCTGATCATAGTCATTTCTGGGCCAGTGGAATACAACACTAGAGCCTGGCAGGGTGGAGATATATCCCTCTGGATTTGCTGTACCCTACAAGCAAACAACAGGTTGTCATAACAAACAAAACATTACTGGCTATTATGCTGTCTTTTAAGATGTATTATAAATAAATGAAAACATGCATTCCCACCTTTCCTCTAACAAATTCCCGCTGAGAGAAGGCTAACTTGTGAGATGATCGATTGTCAAGCAGGTATCGTGGAGCAAAGGTCACAATGTGTGTGTCACGATAACGCCCCTTCCCTTTTCTCACATTTATTCCTATAACGAGACATTACATTACATTATTAAATCAACTTAGCACAGTGGTGTACAGTCCTACTTCTGGGGCCACAGTCCTGCAGAGTTTAATATCAAACACAATTTCATGTCATCAATGTCATCAATGTCTTCAGGATTACTAGAAACTTCCAGCGAGGTGTGTTGCAGCAAGTTGGAGCTAAACTCCTCAGGATGATGGAACAGGATTAGACACCCCTGACTTTGCAGATACTACAATGCAAAAGACGCTTTTCTTAAAACAGGATAGGCATTCCTTATTACCTATATTATAGATGAGTCCAGGTCTGTTACCATGCTGGATGACTTTGACTGCTCTCACTCCACTCCCCCCATCCAGAGAGAAACCCTGGCACCATCCTGGAACACCATCTGGGTGGATCCCTTTACCGATCCGCATGGTGCACCTGTTAAAAGAGGACAAGACTTTAGAGAGCTTTAAAGAATAAAGGGTAATTATGTAGTTAAATTACATTTCTGCTATGTTGGGTAATGAATAAATGACTCTAGCTGTGGAATTTATGCAAGCTAATTAAATAAGATATACAAAAGCATTTGATGGGTGGGGATGGTGGGAATACACAATGAGAATTCTTTGGACTTTCCCCTTCTCTTGCACTCACATATTGGGTTGCTCTTTGTCAGTGTAGCAAAAGAGCAATGGGCTCAAACTCCTGGCTAACTCATGCTCCTCAAACTGCCCAGCGGCATCCGTTTTCCCATTGTCCTGGCGGAAGATCAGAGGCAGCCCTGCAGACACAATAATCAATGAAAATATTACAGATGTGGTGCAGCACAGTTGTGTTCGGTTAAAGGGATAGTTCACCCTTCAGTTGCTGGTTCCCACTGACTTGCATAGTGTTTTTTTTTTCTCCATACTATGGAAATCAGTGGGGACCAGCAACTGAAGGTGAACTATCTATCCCCTTTAAGGTTTTAAATTCATATAATCAACCTATAGTCAATGCATAGATATGAAAGCATACCAGTCTTGTTGACAAGCCAATAGGAAGCGGAGATGAGGATTTTTAATGCTCCATGGGCTCTGAGAACAATCCGTATGGTGAGACAGAGCAGCCGTTTGTTGACATCATATAGCCGCATGCGCACCACATAGTTTTGTGTACCGGGGGGGATGAGCAGCTCCTTACACATAGGAAAGTTCTCCAGGAGAACACCTGAGAACAAACAGCAAACTCATGAAGCTTTATGTCAACAGAAATGTGGATTCATAAAGCAAATAGGTTCAACATTTATGCTAAATATGTGATAAATGATCATGTACTCCAATTTACCTAATTCTATATTTTGTGACGTGTCTGCTGCATGCAGAACTGCCTCTTTGCCTGGTTTCATGGTTCCCTTGATTGAGGTCCCTTTGATGTAGTAGTTAAGGTCACAGGGAAGAAGGTTGGCCAGCACTAGGGTGGGCAGCAGATAGATGGTGTGACCTGGTTGGCGGTAGATCTGCTTTGTACCTCCTGCCACGGTTTTGGCAGGCTGCTGATTGGGGTAGTTCTCTTTTTTAATGACAACACAAAACCTGAAAAAGTACAAAAGTGTTTACAATTTGAGGTTCATTCATCTTTGATATTTTCTTTTTCCAATCAGCCTGTTTTTACCTGAAGTTGCGCTTGAGTTGTTCATCAAAGTCTGCTGACTGGCACTCTCTCTTACTGCTGCCGACCTCACCAGGCCGCTCCACAGAGGTCCAATGGATGGGCACTTTGCAGAAGAACAACCCCAAGCCTTTAGGTCTCGCCTGAAGCCTCCAAGAGGTCAGATGGAGAGGGATGGCCAAGGCCTCTCCAGGCAGGATGGGTGGCAGGACAACAGGTTCTATAGAAGGTAAACAATTAAAATTAGATTCATAGCTGATAAACACGGGTAAATCATAGACAACAAGGTGTGTGCTTACTGTCCGGAGCCGAAGGACTGTCTAGTCGCACTTCCATGGGAACCTCAAGGCGATTCTTCACTGTGAGTGCTGACTGCACCGTAATGACCTTACGTGCACTGCCCTCCATAGTGATAGAGAAAACCACTCGAACAGGCGGCAAAGCTGAGAACTGAACAGAGATTACAGACTGTGTACACACTCTAGAATAATTTAGTGTAATATTATGAGACACAAACACTTACATATACATGAGGGTGTATGATGTTGGTTCTGCTAATTGGGCTGCCAACCTAGAAAAGCCATATCATTACATTTTTATGAAGCATTTTAATTTTTCATGAACTACTAAAATATTTTGTATCTCATGTATTTCAAATGATGAAATACCAGAGCAGAAAAAAGCTCATTTCTAAGACCCATGAGAGAAGTCAAAGACTTCAAAATGCATGTAGAGAATCGCTAATATAATGCATTTATGAATTACTAATGAGTTCAGTGGTTCAAATGGATGTTGAATAAACTTCATTCTCCACATAACAACCCATTAAAACTCACAGTGCTCGAGGGGTTGTTTCGATCAGGAGCAGCATAGCGGAAGAACACTCCAACCTTGTCCACTGACACTGGCTTCACCTGCTCCCAGCCTACAACACGCACCAGCAGCTGGTGGAGTTTCAGCTCATGTGTGTGTCTGTGGTCAGAGCACATCATCAGCAAAGAGGTGAAAAGCACAATTAATGAGGTATTAAAGGACAAACAGTTCAGCAAATAAATCAAAATGAAAATTTAAAAATGTTTTTCTTTGTATTTTAATACATCATATTGTAAACAATTCAACAGTGCATGGTACTATACTTCTTAAGAAACCTTCCTTTTAAGTTTGTCTCCATTCTGGTAGCAGTTTTATTATTGTTATAGCTAAAATTTGAAAAATTTGAAATGTTGCCTTGGCAACTTACTAAAGTTTAAGTTGAAGATCTAAAATTACTAAGTGAAATTCAACTAAAATTGAAATAATAATAAATCAAAACAATTTTTTGTAAACTATTTTTAAAAAATCCAAAAATAACAAAAAGCACGTAACAAAATTACTACAAATTAAACTATATTAAAATGAAAACTGAACTACAAAAATAAAAGCAACTTTTAAAATATTAATAAACAGTATATAAAATTAATACATATTAATAAATAGTCTATATAATAGCAAATAAGTAATACTATCTGGTTGTAAACAGCCACTTTTCACAACTCAATAAACAACAGATGAATCAAAACATCAAAATTTTTTCCCTGAATATCTTGCCTGCTAAATTACAGGCTAACATGGTTAATCCAAAACGACAGTACACAAAATGTGAGGCAACCTTGGATGATTGCCTTGCTCAAGGGTAAAATGTTGATGGAGCAGGACCATGTTCTCTATAACTTGCTAGCTTCTTCATCACCCCTGCCTGGGATCAAGAAGTCATAACCTCTAGGCTATGAACAATTCCAGAGTTGGAGAACCGCTGTAGTTACAATCCATTTCTATCATAACTCTGCCCCTGAGCATGGCACTAAAGCCAGGTTTTCTCCAGAAAGTTTGTTATGAAGCTATTGTCTGTACGTTACATCGTATTAAGACATTCTCTTGACATGACAATGCAAGGATAGACAAAGCTGCCAAACATTAGCACATTCAAAGCCAATTGTATTTGCAAAAGAGACACCCTTCTGCTACCTGTGTCTCAGTTTCTCCCGGGCCTCAAACTCAAATGGGATCTCCTCCCCTGGCAGCACCTCTCTCCACTGGCTGCTGATGTGCGTATCATCGGTCCCAGGCCCATGCACATCAGATATGGAGCCAGCACTACTGCTATGAGACAGCGCCACTCTGTGGACACAGTAGAACCACCATGCATTTTCACAAACTATTAAACTATTACAGTTGAATATTGTAGGAATAATATATGGGCTCTTCTGACCTGGTTGGTGTGGTAGTGAGAGTAGCAAACCACATTGTGCAGCCAGTATGGTTGCGTAAGGCATAGGGCACAAATGGCTGCCTCCTCTTGGAAAGCTTCATATCTACTGAAACATGGCATGCATATAAAATCAGCCACAGGCTTCTATTAAGATTGTGGACAATGCCAGCTATCAGGTATTATGCAACAAATACTGACTTTAAAAACGTTTTGTCTGGAAATGAACATGAAATGTGCCTCCCTAAAGTATGGCCCAAATCATATTTAGATTAATGGAGATAGAAAGGAAAGGCTATCAATGACATCAGTGACAATTTCACAACACATTCATTAACTCTGTAATAAGAAAGCATGATTCAAAGAAAAAGATTATAAACCACTATTTAACACAAAACAGGTTTAATATATATGGTTGTGGGTTAAGGGACAGGGGTAAATGAGGGGTTAGGGTTAGAACAAAGGAACAGAACCCAGAGAACGTGGCTGTCCTATGATCTATGACACCAAACACGATCTTCTGACTTCTCTAAAGTTGGCTGCGCATCTATGAACTGTACCTCGGGCATGAATCTGCTGCTCGAGGCAAGTCAAGCTGGTAGAGCTTCTAGTTCTAAGGTAGGCAAGAGGAAGACCTGACAGCAGAGAGAAAGGGTTAGGGAAAAGAGAAGAGAGAGAGAGAGACATGCTAGGAGGCTGTGGGAAGAGTAGGGGAGACGCATACGGTCAAAGAGAATGGTAGAATGAGATGCACACATCATGATAGTATATGCTGTGATCTTATCTAAAAGCACTTTGAAAACAGCTCATTGTTAGTCACTAATTCAACATGATATTAAGATTTATGTTTAGATTTGTTGTTAATGGCCATTTTCTGGATTTCAAAAGTAACTAAACCAGATTTAAACTGTGACTTATGTTAAAATACATTTATTTGATGGATGAACGGCTTTGAACAATTAACATGAACTTGTCTAAAGCTGAAGTGTGATTTTGAAGTGTTTTGATGTTTAAATACTATCCTACCATCTTAGCTTTGTTCTATCCTAGCTTAAAATGCAGAAACAACTATAAGTAAATGTTTTTAGGTTGATTTCTCAGATACAGAGTGTGTTTGGGACCCCTGTTTGATAATCAGTATTTTTGCAATTATACTACTGTTCAAAAGTTTGAGGTCAGTAATTTTTTAAAAATTGAAATTAATACCTTTATTTGGTGAGGATGCATTAAATTGATCAAAAGTGAGAGTAAGGACATTTATGTTACAAAGGTTCAAATCCTACTTGAACAATAGAAATTTTTGTTTATATAAATAGATGTTTATCCTCCAAAGCACATTTGACCTGCAGGGTTCCCCAAGGATCTATTCTTGCCCCCATTTTGTTTTCTTTATATATGCTCCCTTTGGGCTCAAAGTTTAGAAAATACAGAGTATTATTTCATTGTTATGCAGACTACACTCAAATATATGCGCCTATCAAGCAAAATGACGGACTGTGTGCTTTTATTGCCTGTTTGTCAGACATTAAGGCTTGGATGTCTAAAAACTTCTTAAACTTAAATGAGAGTAAGACAATTGTGTTTGGATCATTAGCTGTCTCTGGCACCTTCTTATTTATCTGAACTTGTGACTGTTAACATATCTGCTAGATGTTTAAGTTCATCAAATCAGAAATTGTTAAAGGTTCCCAGATCATGGTTAAAAAGAAAGGGAGATGGGGCTTTTGCCATAGCTGGTCCCAAATTATGGAACAGCCTACCATTATCTATTAGGATAATCCCTACAGAATCTCTGTTTAAAGTAAAACTTAAAACCTATCTTTTAGAAAAGACGTATAATATGCGAGTTGTCCTGAGCTTGTTTTTCCTCTGTATGTACCATGTCATTGTGTGTAGCTTTATTATGTTTTATTATTTTGATTTTACCATTTTTGTACAGCACAATGGTCAATGACTGTTGTTGTATTGTGCTATATAAATAAACTTTAAGAAAAAGAAAGAAAAAAAAAAAAAAGATTTATATTACAAATAAATGCTGTTGGTTTGAACTATCTATTCATCAAAGAATACTATAGAATACCAAAGAAAACTGTATTATTAATCAAATTAATGCAATTGTGGTGAGTAAAAGAGACATCTTTCAAAAACATTTAAAAAAATCTTACTGACCCCAAACTTTTAAAATAAAATAATTAAAAATAATGATAACAATAATGTACATATGCTGACACTTGTGAAGCAAAAATTACACACTTCAGATTTAAAAATGATACATAAGGTATATTAAGCTCTAATGTAGGACACAGTCGATCGGATTGAACCTCGAAACTGAAAGGACTGCGCATGTGCAGAGAAGCAGAAATAGCGTAATGACGTATGATGCGCGGAACGAGCGGCTCTTCCTTTTGAATAAAGTGTCATATAAATGTGTGTCCTGTCATTATAAAACTCTCCTTTCACTCGGCAACTGTGAAGTGGAGCAGGACAACCTCCCACCAGTCCTTGTTTTGGATTCTCATCCACAGGCAACCCGTTTTGGGTGCGGGAAGGGGCATTTTTTTTGCGTGATAAATATTAATTCTGCTGTTAAAAACAAGAAACCGTGTAGGAGAGTGGCTATTATGTGCAAACAGTGAGAAACTCTATATTTGGGCAGTGTGCGCATGTAAAAAAATTCCGATTTGAAGCTTGTGACATATAAACACGCACATCAACCTGATCACTTTATTTAGCGTTCATGTAAACACTACATTCAGATTCATCAATCGGAATGAATTCAGTCCGATTTAACCAAAAATTGTGCATGTAAACGTAGCCACTGTAACACACAGTGTTGCAGTGCAATTCACCTTTTTTTAAGATCTGAAAGAAAGTGCAGGTTAAGTAAACGGCTGCTACTCACTCTGGCCAAAGGAGGGGGGGTCCACTGATGATCCCATCCAAGACAGGGCGGCGGAGGACTGTGGCGACTGCTCGTCTTCCTTGCAGTAATCTGCTAACCACGAAGTCTTGGTGGTGCTGTACTGCTCTGTGTGTCAGAACGACAGGCCCACAGCAGAGTGTCAGAATTAACATACCACTCATAAATATGGAAGCAAACAGTTAGAGAAAAGCATGGAGGCCTATGAGTGTGTTTGACCCAGACTATGTACCCAGTAAGACAGAGGTGATGTTGACATCCAGCCTCTGCTTGGCTCGAACTCCAATCTTCAGGCGAGGAGGATGGAGCCGGCCTGCCGCCTGTCGCTGCCAATCCAGGAAACATGGCCAAGATTCTATGAATGGCTCCCAGCCTAAAGACCGGCAGACACAAACGTGTGTGCTTATGAATGTACACAGAAATACATAGTGAACAGTTTACACTCAGTTCACAATTAGTTCACAACTCAATACTTGAAAATGACCCATATGGTCTTCCGCGGAAATGTGAAAATGGTAAATGTATCAAATGGAAAATTTTCTTGATATTTTTCATTTATTTTACATCAATTTTTTTATTACTTTTTTCACAACTTATAGCTTTTTCCTGTTAGGGGTGCATAAAACAGCTTATATAACAATATAATTTATTATTTAGACAAAATAGTATTCAATTTTAATATTATGTATCAATATCAATATAACGGCAGTGCATCCCACTTTCCAGGTATAAATTAGCTTTGGCATCCCAGACTTTCAGTATCTCAGACTTTTGAATTCAAACTCCATACTTCAAAATGAGATAGCCCTATAAAATGACTCTAAACTAGCAAGATAAATGTTATTTGAACTGTAGAAAGGATTGACTAACTTTTGAGAAGGTACTGAGATCCAGGGTGGCACATAATACTGAGATCTCACCTGAAAATTCTCTGTTGTAATAATCTCCAGACAGAGTGAAACTAGCCTTGCCTTCCTGCATAGACCCAATCCTCTGGAGAACATAAAGACCTGCGACAGAGGAGAAAAGCTTCTACAGAACCTGTCTACAGTATATTATAGACATATGGAGTATCACAGTATGCAGTCATCCTCACGTGAGAAGGTGAGCTCTGCCAGAGGGACGTCACAGTCTAGGCAGTCATCGATGAAGCAGATACACACGCTCTCGGCCTTCACTTCCACTCCAGATAGGGGAGGAGCCGAGTGGCTGCTGGAGTCTGAGTCAGTTCGGCTTCGGCCGGACATGCTCTCTGCGTTCTCCCACAACCATGTGGCAGCTTGGTCCAACTGACCTGTAATTCAACACACACACACACACACACACACACACACACACACACAGACAATCAAGCACACAATTCCCACATGTGTTTTCTGTGATTTTGGTAGACAATTGCACTGGTGTACCTTTACAGTGAATGAGTGCCCGTCTGCAGTCTTCCCTTCTGAACCCAAGATCCTGCAACCGTTTAAACTGACCTTCTAAAATGAAATATTTTAAGAAACTTCAGCAAAGCTGTTTTCTAATGATTTCACATATTTAGTTAAAGGGATAGTTCACCCAAAACAAATCTTCACAGATCAAATCAGTGTTCATGCTTTGGACATTGCCACTTCTTTATAGTGGATGTCAATATTTTCAGTAAATAATCACTTCTCAATTCTCTAATTCAATTTCTGTTTTCACAACAGGGTTATCATTTGACTGTATATATATATATATATATATACATATACTGTATATCAGTTAACAAACCCAGTAAAGCCTCTGTCTTGAGCCTGAAGCTGTCCTTTGATTTGGATGGGGTGTCTGTGCTGGCAGTGGACGCTGTACTCTCAGCTTCAGTGGCAGATCCTGTGGTCGGAATGGACTTAGCTATTGCCAGGAAAAGCTGCACATCATTGTAGGAAAGACGGATGTCTAGAGCTGGAAACTGGATCTGTGGGGGAAACTAAATTTAAAATTGTGCACCTATAGTTCATCCTGACCTGTGGTTCAATTTAACTCAATACTGACCTCCAAGAGAGGTGGAAAGTCCTCTATGTTGAAGGCATCGAGGAGTCCTGAACTGCTCTGGTACGTTGGGCTCCCACAGAGCTCCATTTGTACATTGACAGGATCAATGATAGACAAAGCTGTTTCCTGTTCGCTCCCCAGTCGACAGGAGAATACCTAAGCAGGGGAGAAACAAAAGATTTAAAAAAAAATGTAATCTGACCATCAAACCAATCAAAACAATGCTTTCTTTTGTGTCATGGATATTGTAAAATCATAGATGTCCAGGGCATTACCTCAATGCCTGCTAAGCTGCCAGAGAAAGGCCTGTCCAGAAGTTGAGGCTTGTATGTGAGCACAGTAGTGCCTTTCAGAATGATAGCATTGGTATCCAAACATGAAGAATCTTCAACGACCACAAACTCTGTCCCTGAAGGAAAAAAGAATTAGACAGTGCATTTTCATATAAACTGCCATTACAGGATTATTTTAAAGGGGTGATTGTTTGCGATTTCACTTTTTTAACGTTAGTTAGTGTGTAATGTTTGCTGTTTGAGCATAAACAATATCTGCAAAGTTACGAAGCTGAAAGTATATATATAGCTACCTTTATAAATATATAACTTTCTTTATATTTTAGGAAATATAAGTCCCTCACAAGCAAATTTGGGGGCCTCAAATTTTTCATTGCCATCAAAAGTCGGAAAGCCCTGCTCTAATGCAGCGAAATTAATACATCACAATTTTGTGATTTACGTGTCCAAAAATGTTGGGACATTGTAAGTGTTAGAAAGTAACACAATATTGTTAAGATGTTACCTGTCACATTGATTTTGACCTCCAGGTATTTATCTTGAGTGACTGGCACAGTGGATCGCTTAGTGACCACACCACTCTTGACTGTTTTGGGCATGACGGCCCCTGTGCCACCTTGGTCACTGCTGCCACTAGGCCAGCACTGGTGGGTAGGCGCTGTTCCTTTTTCTGCAGGCATGTGCAAAAAGTCCCTCACCAGCTGTAGCCAATCAAAAATGAGGAAAACTCGCAGATTGTTTAAAACCACAGTGAAGCATGAGGAGTCCCGCGTAGATCTGTGAGACAGAGAGAATATACAGTAGAACAAGCATTTACTCTTTAGATGCATTTAAATGTACTTTCAGTAGCAGCCCCAGACCTGTAGTGTAGCTCCAGCTGCAGTGAGGCTCGGTTGGTGCCAGTCCTGGATGGCTGCAGAATGCAATCAAACACATTGTGTTTCCCTTCTGTGGGTCCACTGCCTAAGCATTAACACATGTTAGACTGCACCCCATAAACACAATCAAGTCTAGAAAAAAAACAGTGAACCACCCCTTTAATATTGTAATATTTTACAATATTACTGGTTTTAATATATTTCTGATTAAATAAATGCAGCCTTGATGAGACTTCTTTCAAAAACATAAAAAAATTTATTTTGCTATCCTCACTTACATAAATGAACTATTGTGTCCTGCACCCACTAGTAAAAAAATATCAAAAATTATATCTGGTGTCTGAATAATTTTTGGTTTGACTGTAGCTTTTGAATTTTTGATCTAATCAAGAAAAGCCCTGATCTAATTCAATGAAATTTATACATCACAATTGTAAGATTTGTGTGTCCAAAAATGTCAGGACTTTACAATACACAGTATTGTAAAGATGTTACCTGTCACATTGATTTTGACCTCCAGGTATTTATCTTGAGTGACTGGCACAGTGGATCGCTTAGTGACCACACCACTCTTGACTGTTTTGGGCATGACGGCCCCTGTGCCACCTTGGTCACTGCTGCCACTAGGCCAGCACTGGTGGGTAGGCGCTGTTCCTTTTTCTGCAGGCATGTGCAAAAAGTCCCTCACCAGCTGTAGCCAATCAAAAATGAGGAAAACTCGCAGATTGTTTAAAACCACAGTGAAGCATGAGGAGTCCCGCGTAGATCTGTGAGACAGAGAGAATATACAGTAGAACAAGCATTTACTCTTTAGATGCATTTAAATGTACTTTCAGTAGCAGCCCCAGACCTGTAGTGTAGCTCCAGCTGCAGTGAGGCTCGGTTGGTGCCAGTCCTGGATGGCTGCAGAATGCAATCAAACACATTGTGTTTCCCTTCTGTGGGTCCACTGCTCCCAGTGAATCGCGTGTCATGTGCCAGGAGTGAATGAGACACCAGATTCACAGACTTGGAGCTATTAGAGAAACTCTCGAACAGGAGCTTTGATTTCATAAAGTCAAACCTTTTAGGAGTGAAAAAGAAAATCAGTTATCCCTATGGTCTATAAGAAAGTGCAAAGAAATAAAACATTTTGAACATAGAAGTACCTGGCCAATGAGTGGCTATGACCTGTGGATTTAGGGTTGTCCAGTAACTCCAGACTGACATCCTTCATGTCCACCAGAAGAGACAGGGATGTGTACACATCGCCACTTAACACAGTCTGCATGATGACACTTGTATTAATACATTGTGAATAGCCTGCAAAGCCTGTAAATCTTTTTTTGAGATTATTTTATTTTGGGGCTTTTGCCTTTATGCCTGTTATATTTACAATGACACATTTTTACATTGTGACAGGCATGCAAAGCCTGCAAATTACTTTTTTTTTTATATAAACAAATAAGCCATTCTTCATCATTTACATCAGTGGTCAGCAATATGTTTTTCAATTAAGAGTAATTTTTTTTTAATAGTGTTAATTTTGTCCAGCTAAAAATCACATCATAAACAAATGCCTGTTATAATTGTGAACCACAAAAGTGTTCCCATTTCAAAAAGAGTATCAGCAAAGCTACTGTTATAAGCTTACATAGGTGCTGGGGTCTTGGAGATTGTAAGGTCTGAGGAACTCCTCCACAGGCTCTCCCAAGTTGTGCTCCAAGAGTCCACGGATCAGCTGATACCTCTCCAGGTCTAAGGAACAGTGGACAGAAGACAGGCTGCCGTGGATGGACATGTCCGGGACAGCATGACTCAGTTCCCTGAGACAAGGCATAAATGAAAAACATGTTAAAAACAAAGACAAATGAAACTGGGAGTATGTTCGAATAAGTTAGGAAAGCTTAGACTACATAAGGACAAATGACTGACTTGTCAAGGTTGCGCTCCACTTTCAGCTTTAGATGGCAGTGCTCCTTTAGCAGCCTCTCTCCACTCCTACGCACTGAGTAGGATGGGAAGACCAAGTCTGTTTCCAGATGCTTTCCAACATTGTCCCATAGCTCACAGGGCAACCGCTTTGCTGCAAATATGTCCATCTCCTGAAGATCCAGAGCTATACAGTCCAGCAGACACACATGGTCTTCTGTAACACAAGGACATGTCAGTTACCACAAAAGCACATACAAACATACAGAAGGATCCAAAGAATGAGTCCACCAGTAAAAATGCTTTTAGCATTGAGGTTAGGGTTAACTTCAAGATTACAACACTTTGGTTTTGCTAATCTGCTTTGAGATCAGTTGCACCCAATTTGTTTCCCACAAAAAAGTGCATCTCAGATTCTGGGTGCTGACCTGGACTTGATGGCACATCTGCTTCTGGGATAGATCCCAGGCCAGGCTGGGGTCTGCCCAGGGTAAATCCAGAAATTGTGCTGGAACTTGAAGACTTTTTATCACTAGTCTTCCCATCATCAGAGGCAGACTGGGCATTCTTCACTCGATCCTTCAGGAATGATTATTATGTTAATAAACATCCAAATAGAGATATAATTTTTTTTTTTTATTTAAATTTAATTGGAAATAAGATTGTATGATCTTAAAATATTGAGATTTAAAAGATACTAACAAAAGTGTGAGCTTAGTTCAGTGCGCACTGCAGCCGAAATACTGATACAGTGCTGGCTTCACCATATTTCACTCACATAGGATAATTACTTTCAATTCACAAATACTTCACTAATCTTCAAAGACATGCATGGCTCAATTTTAATATAAAATAAAGGTATAATTCACCCAGAAATGAAAATTCATTATTTACTTCATGTCACTCCAACACCATAAAAAGATGTTTTAAATAATGGTTTAAATAATGTTTACATTATTAGTATGCCATACAAATGCAAAAAAATAAAAAATAACAGCATACAGTATAAGAACGTCATAAGAGTAAGTAAATAATGACATACTTGTCATTTTTGGGTGAAAATTACATTAAATTTGATTGAATTGGAAATTCAACTGGAATTTACTCGATGTGAAACTCTTTGTATAAGTCATGAAAAAAGCAAAGACAGAAGGGACACCATCATATTACCGAATAAGAAACACACACCAGATTAGCATTCTCTGATACCTTATAATGTGAGGGATCCTTGTATGAATTAGCATGCAAAATCAAATTCTTCAAACACAAATGTAAGATGAATGTTAATGTTCATAAACTGTTATTGTTAATTTGGGTCTCATATTCACACAAACTGTAGACAACCACACAGGGATTAAATTAAAGTTGAATCCATCCATACTAACATAATTTTTCTACTGAAAAACTGTGACCTTAACCATGCAGAGTAAAGAATGGGTCTACATCCATGAAGCACTTTCCTCAATGCTTGTTTGAGAAATTCGATTTAAGCTATCAACCCACAATGTTTTTCCCTCAAGTCTTTTCACATTATGAAATCATTCTCAGATTGCAGCAATCTGACAGTAAAATGCTCCTTAAATGCATCCCACAGGTTCAGTATGGTGGTGTAGTGTGTATGTGGTTATGGCAAGACTCACCAGAGAAGGGAAAAAGGTATGTGCCATTGTAAGTTTCTCTACCTTATCTCTGAGAGAGAAGGTGCCATGAGCGCCAGCAGGCAGGAAGCGGTTACGCACTCGGAGTTGGCCCAGGTTGGCCACTATTAGGCGTTTAGAGCGGGAGCTCTCGGGGATCAAGAGGACGGGAGCACCTGCCTCAATGTCCAGCAGTACACGAGCAGCTCGCTGTGGGTGCTCACGCACCTGTAGGGTAGAAAGTGAATTAAAACAATCTCCTTTAAAGGTCACTACAATGCCATGACTGCCTAGAATTAAATGACATCTCACTACACGTCCAAATAAAGTCATCTATTTTTAAATGTTAAGCTAATTTAGAGCGATTACATGAAGGTATACAACATAACATCGCAAAATATATTACATGTTACAACATAACATGTTATATTTTTTGTTCTTCATGTTTAGACAGACTCAGGACAAAGTCGTTCATTTGATTGTGATTTTAAACAATAGACATCAGCTCACTTCTGGATTGCGCTACAAAATAGAATAGAGTGTGGTTAATCATTAAATATGAGAATTAATGTATTCTAAATTACATGTCACATTAAATTACCAATATAACAATGCTCAAATTTAACACTTCCATTTCTTTGTATTGAACCTTCGGTTAGTAAGATGAGCTTAGCATACTACCTAAGCATAACGCATATTATCATGAATATACGTTCATATGTTTTAAATTACACATAACATTAAATTATCAAAGCTAAAATGGTCAAATGAAACTTGTTTTCAGTTAGCATGCTAACATCTTAGCATGGCACAAACTGTTTAAAAAAAGTTCAACATTTTTATTAGCTAGAACAAGAATGCATGATGACCCTGTTATCTGACAAACCCAGAACAAAACCATTATCTGTGAAAGCAACAAAATTCTCATTTGACCTACAGACCTGGGCATTTCAAAACACAAAGAAAACCAACCCATTTGCAAGATAACATTGACTGTAAGATTAATAAATCAAATCAACAAAAACCTGTGAAATAGACGCAAATATTAGTACTTTGCTAATGCAATGTGTACAAGGGACAAAGGACTGAGAGCAAGACACGAGAATGTCCTAATGGGTAACTGCTGATTTCTAGCCTGTAGTTTGTAAGAGGGGATTAGAGTCAGGACAGACAGCTCAGTGTCCAGGCGCATCACCAATGTCTCCAGTTTGAAGGAAATGGGTGTTGACAACAACTTGTATAACTATTTTGTCTCTGCAGGAAAGGATTGAGGACAGCCAGCTGATCACCCAAATGGTTATCTGAGCAGCAGTGGCTGGTCTGTTTTCCCTGGGATACATGCATCATATACACTAGGTTGTACAAAGCAGACACAAGGATGGGCCAAATAAAAATTTAAGGATGTTATCTCAACATTTAAATTTATTCTGTCCAAAGGTTACCATTGAACAAACATAATTAAAATGGGCCCTTACAGCCTGACCCTCAACGGCTGCTCTCTGCCTGCCAAGGACATCCTGTAGCTGTGTGAAGTGTTGGATGAAGGCCACCACCTCAGCCTGGAAGCGCTGGGTATGGACATACTGTACTGAGGCCATCTGAAGAGACACCTTCATATCATATTCCCGCAGCAAATAGGGGTCAGGTTCACCATACCTGGAGATAGATGTCAAAACTAAATCATGGACACAAAAAAATGGACTTATATGTAATATATGCATTAATTAAATTACAGAAAAAAGGAAGAAAATACTTGTGTATGTCATAGACAAGGGCATCTCCACCATGTGTTGTGAATCGCTCTCTGTATAGATCCCCATGGGGTGTCAAATCACTCAATGACAAACTACCCAGACTTCCTTGCAATGCCAGATTTCCATCTAAAAGTGTAACACACATAAATTCAGCAAACAACGATTTTCAGAAAAAGCCTTTTTTTCTCATTTAAACATATTTCATTATAATTATACACACCAATCATTTCCATATGCGTAAACAGTTTAGAGACACTAGCTTTAGCAAGCTCGTTGGACTTCTTCCTCAGTACCAGTGATAAAGAGTGAACCTGTGGAGGAAGTACACAAGTCATTTTCTTTAAAGTTTATACTGTCCATTATTTTTTTTAAATTTAAGAAAACATGTTTATTAAATATATTTTTAAAACATTAATTGGTATAATAATTATTATAATATGAATGATTATTTCTTGCATTATTTCTACTGTACCTTTAAATCTAGCTTTGTATTGACCCTTTCCTCAATCTCTGTATACAAATCTCCCAGATCATTGAGGGTACTATTTTCCAATGAGTGTTCAGGTATAGGCTGAGGTGTGGTGGAAGGCACTTTCACAGCATGGTTATTAGCAGTAGAGCCGATGCCAAAGAAGTCTAGAATCATGACCCAGGTTTGCAGTGTGATGAGAATATCCAGGCAGTTGAAGTCCACATCTACACTACGGCCGATGCTGCCATATCGTGTCTTAAACTCTGGGTGCCGCCTATCAACCATTAGCATGTTGATATGTACCAAAGTATCATCAAAGTCTGCTCGTGGGTGTGGAGACGGAGTTTGGTGGGATGGGGATGGAGGAGGGGTGCTGGGGCACTCTGCATCCTCTTTGCTCTTCCGACTGGGTGCAGATGGTGTACTGGGGTGCCTCTGATAGAGCTGGAAAACATTCTGTGCCTCTTCAAATTGTGCTGGAAGAGAACGAGGCATTTCTGGGTACAGAACATTGGACGTTGTTGGGCAAGATTGTGACAGGTATTCCTTTGGACTGAAGGTGGAGGGCTTTGGAGCACCTCTGGACACCATGAGGTGTTTGTACTTTGATTCAGGGTTTGACTCTAGCAGATCTTCCATTAACAAGGAGTGAAGGGCTAGTTGGATGGAAACTGAATGGGGATGATCTTTGGTGAAGTCTCCCACCAGGTCTTGAAAGCGCAGACTGACCAACCCTTGGCATCCTTGGCTAAGGTCTCCGCTCAACTGCACTTGCAGCTCAGTGACCCGAAAGATGGCCCTCACTTGGGTAAAAGAGGGAGGCTGTAGAGGGGGGCTCTCGTTTTGCAGCGGAAGTGTTGCTGAAAGGGATGACGACAAGGATGAGTAAGATAGGCCAACATGAGGAGGGTCACGGGCAAAGAGTCCACCTTGCAGATCAGGGAAGCGATGTGGTTTAGTGGAGGAAGGCGTGGGAGGTGGTGGTGAGGGGGGCTGACTGGGCGTAACTCTCTGATCTTCGATGAAGGAGAGATTATCGAGAGTCTGAAGGACCTGCTCATACACAGACTTGCACAGACACACCTGATAGAAAATATGACAATTTAAAAATCAGGAATGTATATATGATAAAGAGACAACTTTTATGTTATGCATTTTTGTAGTGATTTACCTGGATGGCATTAACAAATCTGCCTTCCACTTTCATTAGCCCACTGCTCTGGTAAGGTTCTTCACATGAAAAGGTAAAGTGTAAGTTTTCATCAACAGGGACTTTCTCAATAGTGAGCTGAATGGTGGCATCTTTTAGAATATGAAATGCTGAAAGAAGAAGACATAGAGATGGAGATGTTCAAAAGTGCCTTGAAAGGACTTAAATATAAAGGGGGGAAAGCTTCATGAATTCCCCAAATTTGATTGACAACTTACCTTTTCCTCGGCTTAAGTACTCAAAGAAGTCATGTCGTGTAAATTGTGGCTCGTTCAGATTAATGTTGCCACCATGAGAAGGTGAGGGTCCAGATGTGGAGCTGCTAAGTCGTGCTCCTTTTCTTAAAACCAAGTTGCTTGTGTTGACTGAATAGAGTCTTATATCTTTAATTTCAACCTGCAGTTTCTCTCCTTCTGAGTCATGCCCTGTAAGAAAGTTTTGAATTCGTATGCTCCCTAAATGTCCAACAAGCAGCTCAGGGTGACCAGGTTTTCTAGGAATAGACACCACTGGGGATTCTATACTGACATCTAGAGTCAGCTTGACCAGAAAAGAATCCAAGCCTGGTTCCTTTTTAGGGACACAGAAATCATCTTCCTCAAAAGGGTCAAGTGTCCAGTTACACTGACTCTGCCTCCTAGATCTTTTGTATGGGTTCTCAAAGAGAGATACCATACCACTGTACTCTGCTGTTTTTGTTGCCAATACAGTAGAGACCTTTGTAGCTGCAGTCTTCAGCATAGACCTGAAGTTGTCCTCTACTTCATTTGCTGATAAACTGAGTTCTTTCAGGAACTTTGCTGAGTGGTTATAGTGTAAAGATGCCATCTGAAGTTGGAGGGAGCATTCTCCCTGAGATTTTTCCATAAAGCGGAAACTCAAAGCTTCAGAGGGTGCCATGCCAGCAATAGAAAAGAATGCCACACCATCTGTGGAGAAGCTGTCTTCTACACTTCCAATACTGACCACAAACTGATTTCTGCCACCTTCCTGAGTCAAGTCTACGAGCTGAATGCATCCTAGAGAACCATTGACATCCAATCTACTTCCCATTGAAACATTGACTTTTGTCCCATTTATACTGGCCGTAGCAATTTTCATGCCTTTTTTCTCACCACCCAAAACAGTCCCGGTGGTAACAGTTCGCAAAAGCAGCAAGTTTAACCTGTGAATTTCAACAGTTAACTCCTTATTCTGGACATAAGTGGACTGATAGCTCTCCTCATTCTCTTCTCCATTAGGCAGTGGTGCTAGCTGTTGTGTTTGAGAGTTTTCATCTTTGGGGAAAGACTGCTGAAGGAATTTTAAAAGCTCTACCATTGTTTCAGGGTTAAGGATGATATCGAGGTTGTTGACCTGCATGGAGGTGACCTGAAGAGAGCTGTCCAAGTTCATAGAGGGGCAGTCTGAGCTGACAAACTGGTATTCCAACTTAATGAGTACCTCCTGGTCTCGCAGGGGAGAGCCCTGTGGAGATGCCTTGTCAAAATCAAGACCTGAGGAGTCCCTGTGCAAACCTGGCAGTTCTGGAGATTTACCGTCTGGTGAGACAGGTGATGTGGGCTGGCTCTCTCGCAGACTTCCAGTAGGTACATCAAAACTTAGGTGTTTATGAGATGCAACAAGAAGATCAAAGTCAGAGCCATACGTCTGCAGTGTATCCACAAGGTAGAGCCCATGGACTGTGAGGGAAACCATAGCATCATAAGGTCGCTTTACAAAATGTGCATTTGTTCCAAATACTTTCAGAACAGAAATATACCGGCCTCCACTTTCAATGCCAAGTTGCATGTAATTGATTCCAAACTCTACAAGGAGAAGTCTAGATTCCACAAGCACCTCTCGAGTATGTTGCTCAAGTGTCATCACACTCTTGGTAAGATTTTTATCAGAACTCTGGAGCTTCCAATCACTATCTTCCCTCTGAAAGATCTTCTCATGACGAAGTATAAGAGGGTCAGGGGATTTGAGGTTCTCCCACTGTTTGTCATCTCCTTCTGCCCCTGAATTACCAAGTCTAGCCAGGCAGCTTCTCAGGGCAGTCATCTTCTCCAGGTTGATGTGCACTTTGAGGTCTGGTAGTGTCCCTGAGAGAACAGCCCCTGGAAACTGAGGGTCTGATGTGTATCGCAGTCTTTGCTCTAGCTGAAGTAGGACATTGAATTTCTCCACCACATGAGTGGGGCCCACTTCACTGTCCTGCAGATGCTTCCAGTTGTCTTTATAGTGACCAACCATGATCTGGAGGTCTTTGAAAGATAAGGAGTACTTCTCATATAGGTTCTTGCTGACTATTTGGGCACCTTCTGGTGACTTAAGGCTGGTAATATCACAGGGCCTCTCCTGACCTTTGACATCCACCTCTTTCTCTGGAGGCGGAGTCCCAGGAGGTGTTGCTAATGGTGTCTGGAATTCTTCATCACTTTCTCCGTCTGTCAGAGAGGTCTTAATATTTGTTTTATGATCTTCTGTGAGAGGACAAATAAAACTGTCACAAGTTGCCATCAACTGCAATAAATTCAGAATGTATGGAAAGGCTACAGCAGAAAATTTTATTTGAACCAGTTACCTTGGGAATTAGTAAGAAGAATATGCCCAAGGTCTACCACAACTAGCATGGGGTCTTCAGACTGAAAATCATCTGGGAAGATGACTTGAGGGGCACATATATCTAATTTCATAGTCCAATGCTTACTGTTCTCCTGTGAAAGGAAAACCACAACAGAATTATAACTAAATATCTAATTGAGACTGTAACTGATAGCAATTAAATAAAGTCCTCTCTTACAATGAACTCTCCAACTAGCAGCTGATCAATGGTTTGTCTGATTTCTGCCTTGGTTTGCATCTTGAGCTTGTTGTATTGCCTCCTGGCTGCTTCAGCCACTCTCAGCTCTAACTCAGACTGATATCCGAATCCTGGAAAATGTCATATAAAACATAATGTACTGATATTTCACAAAACCAATTCAAAATAATTTCAGACGGATGCTTATCCTCAATGTGCACCTGAGGTGTGGACCCTTCCTTTGTAGAAAAACTCAGCCACTTTCTTGATAGCCTGAGGGTTATAAATGATATTGAGAGGACTGGTATTGACCTCCAGTCTCCTCTCAAATTTGCTCCTTATTGGATTACGTTCATAAATCATCTCAAATACAGGAGGGGCTGATGATTCCACATCAGAGGCTGAAAAAAGACAAAATAAGAAGTTCTTAATCAGCCTTCATAGACATTTATTTGTGTATATTTTCATACAACAGATATATGTTTTTAATTTATTACTCACATAGATTGCTCATTTCTGTGCAGTTAGTCTGCTCAAAAGGTTGACTGATAGCAACAGCAACCTTGTCCTTAAAATGTAGAAAAGTTATATGAAATCTATTATTACAGTTATATTTCTGTAACAGATATTTTCAACACATGCAGATGACTGTTCTATAGCAACGAGTAACTTTAAATATGAGAAAAAACTAACTGGTTTTGGTGAAACAAGGACAGGAAAGATGGAGCCCTGGGTAGTGAGATCACGGAGAAACAGCCCACCAAGTTTCACTGAGAGTAATGAAGACTCTGAGCGAGGAAGAGACTCAACTCTGATCTTCACACCTGTAAAGCAAAATTAAAAACATAAATCAACATTCAAAATTGATTCTAAGCCATTGAGACTTTTTTTGTTATAATAAGTATATATATCTACATATATTTAAATATATATACGGTATATACACACACCTGAAAACTCCAGCTGAATAACCCCGCTCTCATTCGAAAGAGGTTTCATTTTGTCTTGATGGTACAGGGTGACAGCTGCTTTCTCAAGGATAAAGTCCAACCGTGCAAAGAGATGATCCCTTCTTGTAAAGGTATTCAGTGTTTGTGAATCCTCCAAAGGATCAAAGAGATCATCTGTCTCAGCTGTTTAGAGGAGAGAAGGCACTTGATACATGGTGCATAATACTATGCAAATGTTCTATATAAATGTAATTTAATACAAACAAAAATTTTGGCAAGAAATTACTACATGCAGAAATTATTTAAAAATCATCATTATAAACCCATTTTCCAGTTATCATAAATGGAAAACTCACCAAGAATTTCCCACTGGGCAGTGCCTGGTAAAAGGTCATCTGAAACTGGTTGCCCATCTGGCCCTCTTTCACTTCCCCCATACCATCCACCCCAGCCTGGGAACCAAGACTGCAGATACTGGATCATGCCAGAACTCCCACTTTTAGGTATAGAGCCTGAGGGAGAGGAGGCTGGGGTCTCGTTTATCATTGGCTCTCGTAGACTCTAAATGGATATGAAGGAAGAATAAAATACATGATTAATTAGTGTAAGGTAGGATTGGATTTAACAAATGTATGGACAGTGATTATGTTGATAATATAATTTGAAACTGTTTTTTTTTTTTATTTCTTCAGTATTAAACTACACAGTATGACATTCCACTCTGACATTTTCAAAGACCCACAACTGTGCCACTAAAGTAAGTCATCTCAGCTTGCCTCTGCAATTTCCTCATGTTTGCGGAAGGAGACATAAACAGTTTCCCGGAGAATCTGCAACTCCTCCAGTGTCTGTTCATCTTCAATCCTCTCTAACTCACTCTATTGAAGTGAAAGGCACAGATTACAGATTATGTAAGATTTCAAAATCTTTTTCAAACTCAAGAAACACTCACACAAAGGTGAATACCGAGACATTGTGGCAATCTAACGTCTATACTCTTCAATCCTGTAAGTCCATAATTCTTACCTCCTCCTGTGGACTCAAAGTAACTCCCTTAAGCCTCTGGAAATATAGGCTTGTGTAGAGTTTGGCATTACGCGCCCTGTGCAGAGCAAAGTCCCAGCTTCCCTGTCTGCGCTGTTCTCTGATCTCATTCAGGTTGGCATTAATAGCAAACATCCACCACTGCCGACAGCTTCAACATTAAAGGAGACATTATTCTAGTAAGCAATACCATTGTGAAACAAAATATTTTTCAGGATTTAATCAACATGAACTATTAAGAGGTTTTTAAAGCTTATTTCAAAACAAACTTAGGCTTGTTTGCAAGGGAATAGAAAAAATAGAAATCTCATTACTTTCCAGAAATGGGATTTTTCGGTCTCCACTTTCGAAAAAGCATCTCCCTTTCTCGCCGGTCCAGTTCTTTGAGGAATGCCATCATCTGTTGATACTGAACCTTTAAACCAGCACCAATTTAAATCATAAATGTGAGTTAAACAGTAAAAGACAACTAAAAGTAGTACATTTTGTATATTTTAAATGAACTAAACCCAGTTTGGTTAAAGTCACCCAGAAAAGGAACCAGTTGCAAGTGACTACTCAGTACTTTTGATGTTCACATTGAAGCAGATTTAAAAGGGGACATCATCGCACAAATCAATCAAACAACAAAAAGTGCTCAAGTTTACATGTAATATCGGCCCGATATTCCTTGGAGTGCTCATATTAGGTGACAGAAAACAGCCTAAAGGCTGTTAAGGTCCACATATGGGACCTTAAATAAAAAAAAAAAATGTCACCTGTGACAGACGAAGTGAGAGGGGTTCCAACTGCACTTGGCCCTCAATGCGAGGCGTGTTATGAGATCGTAGTGGTTCTTTAGAGGCATTCCTCCTCACCAGCACAGAGGCACATACTGGCTCAAATATATACTGATGCTCACGGCTCTGCATACATTTACTCATCATCTCCTGTAACAGACAGTTGATCAAGAAGCAGTTTACAAGGAGCACTAGCCATTGTGCTATTGAGTGTCCTGACATTTTCAAAAATCTACCTGTACTTCTGTTGAGGGAAGATCGCCAAGCATGGTGCACTCCGTGTCCCAGTACACACTGAATTCACCGATTTCCAGCTCCTTCTGCCGAATAAGCTTCTGAGCCTGTGAGTGAAGAGTTTACCTTTCATGTTCCAACATGTAAAGCAAGAGCTACTTCATGAAGATACCAAATAATATGGATAACTCACTGGTTCTTTGGAGCAGTTCTGTGCAGATACATTCTTGATACAAACACCAAAGGCATAGGGTTTCTCAGGGTTGGAGAAATCGTCTTCGAATCGTAAGTGGACACCTTGAATTTTCAACTAATAACATATACAGAATAGCAAAATGAATATTATTTCTGAAATTAAACTATAACAACAGCAGAGTGCAAGGAAGGAAGTAACTATGACAATAGTGAAAATTACCTCTATATTCTCAACTATTCTAGTCACAACAGACGCTGTGACAGAGTACCAGTAAGATTCTCCTTTCTGCTCACATTCACTCTGATAAAATACAAAATAATAAATAAAAAAACACACATTTGAATTGCACATTTCATATATAAGAAGTTCAAAGTGATTCATATATCACAGTACAATATAATAAACAAAATCAAATAGAATGAAACAAACAAACAAATCACTTATAACCTATGTATGTGTACATTAGTACACAAGTAAAATATGAAAGTCATCAGCATTTAACTACAGCAATTCAATGACATTTTCTAACAACCTGTACCTTCCACTTGTCCTCTAGTGCCTTGAGCAGCTGTTTCTTCTGCTCTCTCTCAGCTTCTCTTTCTCGCACATCATCATATTCCTGTGGGGGCACAGGGCCGATAATCAGGTTCAGCTGGGACATGCAGATGACCCATGGGTCACTGTGTGGTCGATAAAAGGGGATCTGGAGGGTGATCTTCCCAATGACCCCTGGAAAAAATACACATAATATTTATGAAATACATGTAGAATTTTACATACACACCAGTGTTCAATAGTTAGGGATTTTTTGTTTTTGAAAGACATCTCTTATGCTCACCAAACCTGCATTGATTTGATTAAACGTAAAGTAAAATCAATAATATTGTTAAATATTATTACACTTTAAAATAAATTAATTTTCAATTTGAATTTATATTTTGCCAAATTTTCAGCAGTCATTACTCCAGTCTTCAGTGTCACAGGATCCTTAGGAAATCATGCTGATTTGCTGCTCCAGAAACTTAACTCCAGAAATGTATTATTATTATCACTGTTGAAAACATTTGTGCTGCTTAATATTTTGTGTAAACTGTGATAGTTTTCTTTTTATTGTCTAATGAATAGAAAGTTTAAAAGACCAACATTTATTTGAAAGAGAAATCTTTTGTAACATTATTAATTTATTTACTCACTTTTGATCAATTTATTGCATCCATGCTAAATAAAAGTATTAAAATCTTACTGATCCAAAAACAGTAGTGTAATATTTATGCATCTGTTAATACCATAGAGAAATGAATAATTCCTAAATCTAAGAATAAAAACTATACATGTTCTCAAATGTCATCATGCCACTGCAGAAGAACATTCAGATAATCCTGTTCTGACATACTTCTGCTGTGCAAGAATTTCCTTAATTCCAACAATTAAGATCACAAGATGCAAATACCTAACCCTTAGTTAGAATAAATAACATTTCAAGTGATGTTTGTGCAAAGACAGCCAGTGAGTGTCAGATGTAGATCTAAATACATTAATTTAGGTTTAAAGATTCACTTAGATTAACACCTAAAACATAAATATTACTTCTGACAACTGCTTAAAATGGCATACAAACACAACATCAATACTCCACTCATCACTGGCCTAGGAAAAGCTAATTTACTCAAACTAAGGTTCTAGTTAGGTTATCTCAAAGTGGCCACCATACTGGGATAACATGACCAGGCAAATACTACTCACATTATCTTGAAAAGCCTCTCTATAAATCGACACTTTTTGTTGTTTGATAAATTAATCAACAGGGTATTTCCATAAGGGCACACCGACATGTGTAGTATAAAGTCCAAGGTAATTCAGCCAGCAAAACAAACAAATTACTTACTGAAACTAACTGGTTACAGCCCAAAGGCTATAGTAACACTAACCTGCTTTGACCTCAAAGGGCAGATCAAATTCTCGGAGAGCATCTTTTCTTAGTGGGAGGTTCTCCAACTCCACTGCCCCTGGATCAAAACAAATTGCATACTTCACAAAATTATACACAACACAGACAGTAGGGCTGTCAAAAAAAAAAAAAGAATTTCGAATATTCGTCGAATTAAAAAAAAAAAAATCCACATTTTAGGTCTGCGTCAGCAATCAGGCAGCCTTATCAGTGGCGCACGAAATGCGATCAAAGATAGTCGTGTTGTTTTATTACGCTTTGAAGAAACGTGCATAATATTTTGCTCAATGCGCCCTCTTGTGGCCTCAAGATAGAAGCCAAAAGCTTTTTTTCCCCCTAATTGAAATGATGCCTTTTAAATTCGAATATAATTCGAATTTTGATCATATTTAAGTGGAAAATTCGAATTTAGTTTTTCAGTCATTTTGACAGCCCTAACAGACAGTAAGCTCCGAATAGCACAAACTAAAACAAATGCATTCAAATACCTTTGAGAAGAGCAATAGAGAGCTGGTCAGTATTAAGGTTGCTCACATATTTGCCCAGATATGTGTTGAGCACCCAGGCAACAAGTCCCTCCAACATTATAGGAAGAGAACAGTGCACTGGGATTTGTCAGTTAAAGTAAATCCTTGCAGGCGATGAACTTCACACTTAGCGTTCACTCCAGTCATCTGAAGTCTGAGGAGTCAAAGAAACACAAACAAAACATAAAGTTTGTAGCAGTGCTCCTAAATCAGTGGTTCTCAACCTTTTTGACTTCAAGGCCTCCTATTGTCTACAACAATATTCGAAGGCCCCTCGACTTCCCTAGTTGTTCGTGATTTATTGGATAAGGATTAAGGATTTTCTACCCGATTAATTATTTTAGAGCTTGGCATGGAAAAATGAGAATTCATTTTAAAAATTCACATGGAGTTATAAGATTTTATTACGCTTTACATGACTTTTCCAGGTCTAGAAATCACACTTAAAATTAAGCTACTTCATATAGTCAGGAAATTGTGGGAAACCTGGTTCTTCAAAGGAAAAAAAAGTTGCTGAGGGAGCAAAAAAAGAGAAAAGAACTCTCTCTCTCTTTTAAACTTTATTGGAAATGTACAAAACTTATGAGAAAAAAAATGGAAAAAATCGTGGACATGATTAGAAAAGGCTAATTAGTCTTTACACACAGACACACAGACACACACACAAATAGTTGCACTTGTGATCTTCATTATCAAAAATGACCACCATGAATGGAAAAAAAAAAAAAAAATACAGAGAATTTTTTGGGGTACAATCTACAAATCAGCCTTACATGGATAATAGTTTAAATACCTGCTATATATATATTTTTTTTAACTTAAACACTGTATAAATTGAAGATAATATAAGAAATAACAACTCTGACCCCTAAGTGAATAGTATCAGGAGTTTAATGCTTGTTATGTCTAATTTGAAATCATCTTGAGGCCCGGACATTTCGTAAGGCCCCCTAGTCAGAGGCGGACAAAGTACTCAACTCCATTACTTGAGTGAAAGTACAGATACTGCTGGTCAAACATTACTCCATTACAAGTAAAAGTTGTAAAGACAGATTTTTACTTAAGTAAAAGTACAGAAGTACTTGCTTTTAAAAGTACTTAAGTACCAAAAGTAAATTTCCCTTTTTATGTCAATGCACTGTTTTATTATTGTTGTTTGTAATACTTACAATGCTTCTGAAGCAACTTAGAATACATTACACTTGCTGAATACACTGACTAGCTTGTAGTATATTTGGAATAAAGAGCTTTTAGAATGTTAAAAACCTATGGGGGAAAAAAACAAAACAAAACATTATTGAACACCCCATCCACCCCCACAAAAGCAGGATGGTAGTGATCTCACACAGCTCTG